CTCCCAATCATCAAACCTTGTGTAGCTATTTTTAATGAGGTTTTCCTGTTTTTATCGCACTTGACGACTGAAACCCGTTAGAGTAGGAAATTTGATAATAAAATGGCATCGAAGTATAATTTTAAACTTTCGGCAGGTTTTTCCTGTTTTATCACACTTGACGACTGGAACCCCGTTAGAGTAGGAAATTTGATAATAAAATGACATCGATCTATAACTTATAATTTTATTATACATACTGAAGCTTTGCCATTACATCATTAACAATAATTGAGGGATTGTAATGTAATATTTCTTCTAAACACATTTTTCTGTAATATACTTCTATGCACAGCTGATTAATTAAGTATCTAGCATCTTCGTATACATCAGCGATAGGCGCGGTCTCCTTATTATTTTTCTGAAATATACTTCTATGCACAGCTGATTAATTAAGTATCTAGCATCTTCGTATACATCAGCGATAGGCGCGGTCTCCTTATTACTTCTTTTCAAGTCAACCATTTTATTGATAAATATCCGGTAAAAGGTAGCGAAGTTATAGGACCCTAGTTGTTGTAGTCTTGAGTTTATTGCATATTTCATGTTGAACAACTCCTCAATCTCGTTTCTATGCATGCAGCATGATTGATTAAATTGTCGAATATCGATGGTGGTTATAATTTTATCCGAATCATCGGTAAATTTCCAGTTATAAAGTAAGCCTAAAGTGTCACTTAATGGTTCATAGTAATCTTCATAGTTGACGTCTTCATAGATGAGGTCTTCAGCAGACCAACATTTTTCTGTTTTCTTTGATCGATATAGCTGTATTTCGGTATAGGGCTGCCATTTTAAAAGATTGTTCCAATCTTCAACAGTCAATATGACACCGCAACCCTCGCTCTTGCAAGAGAGGCGTAAAACAGGTTCCTGATGAAAACAAGTGCTATAACCTATTTCAATATCCTTACTATCACTGAGAACGTATCGTACAGCACCAATTAACGTTTCCTTTGTCGCTTGATAATATATTTCTGCTAATTCCTCTTCTAAATACCCGTATGATGTTGATGATGGCGATGTCGCAACATCAGACGATGATGTACAGGACCAGCAGTTACACATGTTATCACCTTCACTCTTGTAGTTAGACTAAATTATAGGAAAAACTTATAGATGGTATGAATCAATAGCGTAGTGGAGAGGGAAACAGCATGATGCGATTTAAGAACCTTAGCCTCCTTACCAGCAGGTTTATCCTCTAGGAATCAATCATCTTGCTAACTAATACAATGACCTTGTCTACCAGGTCCAACGGGTTTGCCAATTAGTCCAGGTGGTTTGTCATCAGCTTGTCAACAGGTTCAACGGGTTTGTTTATTCATATCGGTACCAAATCGGTTCAAAGCTGTTCAATAGCGGGTCAACATCGGTTCAGAGACGGTTCACAGCTGTCCAAAACCGGTTCAAAGCAGTTCGAAAGCGGTTCAGAAGCGGTTCAAAGCAGTTCGAAAGCGGTTCAGAGGCGGTTCAAAACCGGTTCAAAGCAGTTCGAAAGCGGTTCAGAGACGGTTCAAAGCAGTTCGAAAGCGGTTCAGAGGCGGTTCATAGCGGTCCCCAGCTGTCCAAAACCGATTCAAAGCAGTTCTAAAGCGGGTCAACATCGGTTCAGATCGGTTCAAAGCAGTTCGAAACGGTTCAAAGCAGTTCAAAAGCGGTCCAACGGCTTTTTCATCTGATCCAAGGGCTCTACCTATCTGATCTAACGGCTTTGCCAACTGTTCCAGCGGGGTTTGCTAACTGACCTAAAGGAGGTGTGATCCTTTTAATTCCCATAGCTCGCTTTTCCGTAAAGACATAAAGGGGTTCAGAACAGAGGACAGAAACCATTTGGTGTTGTGTTGTCGAGAAGAGCAGCCCTTCAACGATGTCTAAAGCGTGTAATTGGGGAAGACCTTGTAACTGTAGCGACTGTCGACCTGAGCTAAAGGAAAAATGTGAAATTTGCTGCGAGAGAGAAGGATACCGCGTTGGAAGTACTTTAAGAAAAGACAGAAAGGGGATAAAGTACTATGACTCTGAAACTTGTTGTCAACAATGCTATCAGGAAAATTATGGCGAGAGAGAAGAACGAATCTTTAACATGATGCTGCAAATTCTCGAGGATTCGATTAAAAATCCTACCAAAAAGCCTCAACCTGACCCTGTCTACGTTACCGAGCGAAAAGAAATTAAAGAGGTGTTGTGCAGATTATTCGGAAAAGAACTGTATATGTGTGAAGATGATAAATGTCGACGCAGAATACCGCAAATTCTTGATAAACTTAAAGTGAAGATTGTTTGGGAAAACAAGAACGGCGGGAAATTTGAATATGAAAGTGATGAAATTGGATACGATCATACGACTGGCTGGTTTGAACAGTATATTTTACCTGAGATAATAAAGAAAATAGTGGGACCTATTTGGGTTAAAACATTGCAAATTTCCCCTACATATAGATTACCTCAGGTCGTATATGTAACAAAGGGCTAAGTTCTCCGTAGAGATTGGTATAGAAAACATTTATAGTGAGGCTGATAATTTTTGCAAGAGACTACACTTCAAATTATTCTACGAAACTGTTAAAGTCGCTAAAGGTTGGTATTCCTATATACCTTGAGGATCTATTAGGAGAACCTATAATGGGGACACTTCGATGCTGAAGAAATGTAGAAAACAGCCCATCCGAGAAAGTTTTAAGGCGTAAGGAGACAGTTAGTCGTTTACTGTAGCAATACTGATATCAATTGAACTTTGTAATGCATTTCCTTTCATAATAAATATGTTTACAAAATAATACATTGTAAATGCATACAATGTGTTTTATTCAATAAGTCAAAGTTCGACTATTTATATTTATAAATCGAAAAGGATGCGAATTATCTGTTTATCGTTAAGGACGCAAAAAGGGCTCCGCATATTAACTGGCGAAGTATAATTGGAAACATGTAGGATGGCGTATGACCATGCTCCCATTTAATTCCATGATGGTTATGGATTAGCCAGGTAGCTTGACGTTGTACCTAAGCCACCTGCTTTCCATTAATTGTAAGCTCTTTCAGTAAATCCGGAGCGCTTTTACGCAAATACTATTCAAATATTATTCAGTATAAAGCGGCCACATCATCCAATGCAATTTTATAGATAACGCGCTTCTTCGGTTCTATTGTTATCAATATGACACCTTTGACTTAAACGCCTACAAGTTCTTACGGTTTCCTGTTAGTCTTGCACCTATATATCCTCAAGTCTAACTATCATGTCCCGAAAAATTTCTAGAAAGAATTTATGCTTTTCCTATTAAAACAATGCAACTATATAGGTGTCCTTGAGTCGTAATCTTAAGCTACGCTTTACGAAATTATCAATGGCGGCAGCTCGTGAGTAAATAGAATATATAGGTATCGTTAAACTTTAGTTATAGCAAATTTTAAAATCTACTCATCTCCAGGGCATAACGATAGTCGATGTAGTGAAACAGCCGGCTTTTGAATAGGTCGAGGTAATACTCAAAAGGTATATGGAATTGGTCAATGAAACGAAAAGTATTCAAGTTTATCGTATCACCTTCAAAGTAGACCTCCTTCTAAAATAATACACTACCTACGAGCATACTAATTTTTGAAGGTCTTCAGACTTCGGGAACCCTCCGCAACGTACGCATTTTCAAAACTAATAGGATGCTTTGATCGATAATAATACAAATCTATCAGCGGCATGTACCAAATGTTTTACCTATATAATATCACGTTCTAAGGTATGGCGATATTGAATATAATGAGTGAAGGATGTAAATTTTTATTGTATGTTTATCTGCATACCCCTTTGTATCGAACTTCCTATGACATCGTTTGTCATAGCTGTGCAATCTGTACAGGTTTCCTATCTAAATGGATAGCAATAAATAAAACTCCTCCTCGAAACCGTTCGATAGTCAGTTGCGAAGAAAATGGAGGGTAAGAATGACCCCTTTTCTATTTTTCATCAAACTTAATGTATGTAATTTTTCAGCTCAAGGTGCGGCCATCATCTTTGGCCCATTGCAGACGGCCTATGGTAAATACGCCACATATCTATCACACGTTTAACCATATATTTGTAGAACGAGAACTCCGAACATATCTCAAACAAAAATATGGATCTGTAAGTACTTTTCATGCATCATACCGTATTTTAATTAGCTCTTATTTAGGAAAATGTTGCTATTTTACGGGGTCGGGGGGTAATCCCTGACTCCGTAAAGATAGAGGAAGGTAGCTTCCTGGGGCGGAGGTTCCAGGTCTTTAAGGACCTGGAACTACAAAACACGTACTGGGTGTTTTATGTAAGTGTTATCGTTTCAATTATAATGTTTACTTCAATGAATTTTTTTTTCCAGAACTAATAAACCCGCATTAAATTTTGTTTTGTTTTACTTATTCACTCCATTCTGACTAAGCCCTTACCTAAAATAATAAGATGTAGTGATTAGGGTGTTATCATTTCTTCCGTAAAACAAGTGTTATAGATATTAAATTAAGAAGCTCACCTTATAATCAATATTATCGTTATATAAATGTAGATCCGAGAAAAATTGATTTAACTGAATACCAAACAAATTGATGTAATACATAATATTTCACAATGTTATCGCATTTATTTATCACAACTGTATTATTCTCTACTCCTGATCAATAAATGTGAAGTATAGATATTAATAATAATAATAAATCCGCACGCCGTTTAACCAATAACCATGATGATGAAGTCAATCCTCCATTGGAGTTTGATATCGTCTAAAAAAGATATCAATGTAGGCTTTTATTACAAAATAATTTTGATACTTACGGTCCAACTCTGATGTAGACTATGTTTTCTGCTGTCAGCTTATTACTTATAAACGCCCATATAAAATAATCGCTGAATAAATACAATAAAATGTCCCGCAAATTATGCGCGCAAGGACACGTATCCCTAAGAAAAGTAAATTATAAGCAACTAAAAATTGAAAAAAGGCTTACCTGAGGTATATAAGAAGGCGCCTGTCTAAGTAGGTGTATACCCACATGCACTTTTTGAAATCGGATTGCGGATGCACGCCGTTTTTATGGGAGATTTTCGAACTTTACGCATTCATACACAATAAAACCCGTATATAGGTGTCGATGTGGAAATGAAATGGGATAAAGTACCATATCAAATTCGCGAGCACGCGCTGCTATAAATAAACACTATCGCAAGATTGAAACTTTCCATACAAATTATTAGAATAATGACATCTGCGAACTCTGTTCTCTTATTGCTTTAATGACATCTGCGAACTCTGTTCTCTTATTGCTTTCGCAACTTAATAGTTATTATTTTAGATCGAGAAATGTGCAATCATTTTTGCGAGGAGTCGAGGTAAACTATACGTTTTAACCGTAGGTATATTTGTAGAACAAGAAACTACTATTATTTTCGGCGGGATAAACCCAGCGAGGTATAAAACCACCATGTATTACGTTTTAATTATATATACCTATGTGTAGAACGGAGCGGGGGATTTCCAATTATGAATAACAATGCTGTCATTAAAATGGGCGTTGCTGACGTCGAGGCTCTCTTCGACGCAAATTTTATGTAAGTAGAGTAAGCGCTTTAATTGTAATAATAAACTTCAAATCACTATTTCCGCTGTAAATAAAAACACCCTACATTTTGTTTGTTGTTTTTTCCCTGCCCACTCCTGTTCTGGTTATAGGGAACCTACCTCCGATATGGAATTATAGGTAAGAATGAGGGTCCTCGCACCTGTCTCCTGAAATTACAATTTCCTACCCTAGTCGCATCAATCTAATAGAGGGAGTCGGATGAAAATATACCTCTATATGCATTACGACGCCAATAGATGGCGCCTCCGTATCAAATCGCTATTTCAGCTCTAAATAAAAACGCTCTACATTTTGTTTTTGTTGTTTTATTTCCCTCCCCGCCCCTGTTCTGGTTGTAGGTTAGAATGGGGCCCCCTTGTGTATGTCTCTCAAATGGGGGAGCTACCTCCGAGATGGAATGATAGGTTAGAATTCTCCTCCCTTGCATCTCTCTCCTGAACCACTGGATAGTTCACATGTTTGCTATTGTACAAATGTATACACGGCCGACTTTATTCGTAAATTTCTAACGCAAGAAGTCAAAATTGCAGTTTCCTATACGTTAGATGCGTATCATTTTGACGCCACCAAATAGCCCCTAGCCCCTATCGGGTTTTTTCCCTGCCCACTCCTGTTCTAGTTATAGGGAACCTACCTCCGAGATGGAATTATAGGTTAGAATGAGGGTCCTCGCACCTGTCTCCTGAAATTACAATTTCCTACCCTATACCTATATGTCACATCAATCTAATAGAGGGAGTCGATTGAAAATATACCTCTATATGCATTACGACGCCAATAGATGGCACCTCCGTACCATTTAATATATCTATGATTTAATAATATTTAGAGGTTCGTTATAAATACAACTATCGAAGCATTATATCATACAAGTCTAGTTAGCCTAGTGGTTATGCTATAGGACTTGTAATCCGATGGTTGGCGGTTCGAATCCGTTCCATTTAAAAAAATTTTCAGGAGGTTCGATATAAATACAACTATCCAAGCATATTATATCATACAAGTCTAATTAGCTCAGTGGTTATGCTATAGGACTTGTAATCCAATGGTTGGCGGTTCGAATCCGTTCCATTTAACAAATTTTTCAGGGTACGAAGGGGTCGAAGTTTGAGGATTCCAAGATGGCGTCCAAGATGGCGTCCAAGAACTTGAGGATTCCAAGAACTTGAGGATTCCAAGAACTTGAGGATTCCAAGAACTTGAGGATTCCAAGAACTTGAGGATTCCAAGAACTTGAGGATTCCAAGATGGCGTCCAAATGACGCCTGCGCAGACGCCTGCGCAAAGGGGCGGGGCGCGCATGCGCACATCCAAACTGCTCCAAAAACACCCAAATGAACCTTAGAATTCCTTATGGGAAATTACATGTAATTTCGACCAAAAGTGGGCTCGAACCCGTGCAGCTCCTTTACTCAGCATGTCTGATAAATAACTTCGTTTTTCATTGCTTATACATACTTAATACGTCTAATTTCAGCTTATCATACTGATGGCCGGTCCTCTTTTGGTAAATATTATATCTCCGCCTATTATGCGTATTCTTAACTGAGTAATTGTAGAACGAGCATTGAGCGGTTTTTGTATGCGGAGGTATAATTCCGTAGGTAAATAAAAAGATGTTAATCATAGTTGAATCATGGACATCATCTGTAGGATGACGTATCCATCGTTATTATGAGAGGCTACGAAACGATCCCCCGCTCAACCCTCGTCGAGCGGGGGATTTTCTTAAAACACATATTTTGGGTCTACCAAGATGAAGATCTACCGAACACATATTGGATACGTTATGTAAGTTATTAAATTGTACAATACGATATGCTTCAAGTCTTCATTATTTTTCAGCTTTAAAATAAACATATGATTTCGCTTTTGTTGTTTTTTTCCTATTTATTCCTGATCAGACTCTTACCTAAAATAATAACCCAATATAAAGGTATAGTGCTTAGGTATTTATTAGACACACGGGATGCTTCCATAACATTATACAAAACGAGAGCAGCAGCATGAAAACGGCGTTCACCCCTTTACCTCTACGGCTACTCATACCAGCAGCACCGCCGACGAGTAGGAGGTCCACATCACGTCATCGCATACGATAACCGTTAGATGAAGCTTTATGTATATGTAGTCAACCTAAATTTGACGAAGGAAGCTAGTTTTTTGTTCCTATTAACCCTCCACACACAGATCGTTAGACAGCCTCCAGCCTCGCACCCCCTACCGACCCCCATTACCCCTCGAAAGGTAGACGGTCCACATCTCGTTATCGCATACAGCAACTACCATTCCAAAGATCAGTTCGAAATTACAGATCCCTAGCCGTTACATGAAGCCGTATGTCGTATCAATCTAATAGATGGCGGTTCTGTTCCTACCCATTTAAATACAACTACTAAAACATTATATCACAAAAGTCCGCTTAGCTCAATGGGTTAGCTATAGGACTTGTAATCCAATGGTTGGCGGTTCGAATCCGTTTCATTCAAAAGCTGAGGCTTCTAAGAAGTCTACAAGAAGTTGAGGATTCCAAGAAGTCTACAAGAACTTGAGGAGTCCAAGATGGAGGAATCCAAGATGGCGGAATCCAATCGGAATGATCTTCGCAAACGGCCAGCACGCGCATGCGCACAAACGAAATTTGCAACAAAAATGACCGAAATGGACCTTAGAATCTCGTATGGGAAATAACATGGGATTTTGACCAAAATTGTGCTCGAACTCCAATAGCCTATCTACTTGTATGCAATAGATCAGTACACTCACTACTCATGTTAATAAAGAAATGCGCTATTAGTTCCTTCACGGTATGAACAATGCACTCGTTTTTTATGACATCCTTTGGAAAACCTAATCAATAAGAAATAGTGTAACTAGACAAACGGAAAACATCAATCAACAGGAAGCCAATTTAACGAACAGGAAAACGTTGTGTCAAAAATAAAAAGATCCATTTAATATGAAGCCTCTAATCAAAGGAAAGAATAACATGAAATCAATTCGATCACAGTGAAGATGGGATTCAATCAACGCTAAATCCTATACAAATATTTATACTTCTTCTCAACTTTAGTGTTATGTATTAATTACACTCATGTTAGAAAGTTTACCGGTAACAATAACGATTACTCGAGAAGAACAAATTTCACTACCTGCTGCTAGAATTTCAGTTCGTGAACTCTGTAGTAGGCATATCCAAATTAGTGTATTACCACTAACCGCACCAAGGCAATCAGTGTAATTGCGGCATTAAACAAATTTAAATACCGGTCATTTCAACACCAAAATATATTCGGGTACATCCACTTATCTGAAAGTATCTTACATTTTTTCAAACAATGAAGGGTAAAGACGGTAAAAATTCCTATCCTACTATTTTGATTGCAGGAATTAATAACTCTGCTACATCATACTAGTGGTGAGGACGAGGAAGAAGAATTTCGACCTATTGAAATGAACGCCCATGAAAATGAAATGGGTGATAAATTTAGAATCAATGGATTGGTTCATAGAATTGAACTGGATAAAGGAAGTCTTCATCTTTATCCTGAACTGAAATTGCAAAGCTTGCCTTATCATAAATATTATCGTCATATAAATGTAGATTTCAATACGAAACTTATCTTGACAGTTGTAGGGTGCAATTAATGTTATTACTGTTTGGAAAGGAGAATTGGTAAAATAAGAAACCAATATAATATTGTAAGTAATTTTATACCTTTATGTTATCTAACAGTGTCTTATATAGGACAATATAGCATTCCTCAAACGACCTTTATAGGAGAAGGCGTGTATGAGAGTCTCCAGTACACTCTATTCAAGGACCAAGAGATAAAAAATATGATATGGATCGTGATTGTAATTAAATTCACCTTCAGAAATATGTGTTCTAATTTTTTGGCCTGAAGTAATTTTCATCTGTTTAAAAGAGTAGTTAAACAAGGAGAGTTCTGGCACAATGTAAATCTCCATAAGCGCAATGCTAAAGTATGGGTTCATTTCAGTGACAAAAACTCACTTTTTGAATCGGTCTTGATTGCGGTGTTTTTTGTGGGGTTGTAGATGTGTGTTTAGGGGTTGCAGATGTGTTTAGGGGTTAGTAGATGTATGGGGGGTGGTTGTTGATGAGGGTAGTAAGAAAAATAAATTTTGAGATGTCTTAGTAAGACGAGACGGGTCTGCGGTGTTTTTTTTTGTGGGGTTGTAGATTGTGTTTGGGGGTGGTTGCAGATGTGTTTAGTGGGTAGTAGATATGAGGTGGTGTGTGTGTGTGTGTGTGTGTGTGTGTGTGAGGGTGTGAGGGTGAGGTGTGTGTGTGTGTGTTAAGGGGTAGTAAGAAAAAATTGGTCAGCGCGCGATTTCTAATTTTAGTTTCTGTTATTTTAGAGTAGAGCGCGAGTGTAAATGTATTTCTTATGGGGATGAGATTTTGTGTACAAAGTTGCGAAAATCTTCATAAGTGCAATGTATTTCTTATCTAGAGATGAGTGATTTCGTGTATAGTATGCAAGTATGATGTGATACTTTTGAGGTTTTCCTGTTGACACATTACGCATCATTCTGTAAGTGACGATTTGTTATGACAATTCAACTCATGTATAAAAAATCGCATAAGCCGCAGTGAAATTGTCACTTTGACAGGCAAAAGTTACCTGCAACTTCCAGCGACAAATGCACTTAGTGGTTTTTTTCACTTATATCATTTTCGAACCAATTATTCGCATTATCCTTTCCCATATGACTAGTTGACGTTCTGTCAGTAATTGATTAGTTATTGTGAATTTCTTTTCGTTAATTGTCCTGCCGAAATTACACTCGAGCGTTTGTATTTAAACCGAGTAAAATTTGTGTTGTTGCAATTCAAATCTGTTGCCTTTAGCAATTGAACTCGAAAACTTGTCAACCTAAAAATGGCTCACTGCGGTGTCGCATTTTTATTAGTTGACAGTTTTCCTCGTCTAATTGCTAGGCAACAGATTTTCATTACCTAAACAACCCAAATTTACTCGGTAAAATACAAACCTCTTGTGCAATTATAAGTGAGAAAATGATGAGTAAAATGCGTGTAATATCCACAATTGATGACATTATTGCGGATTATTAATCCTTTTTATCAATAAGGGATGTATGCATCCGCAATTTTCTCCTATAAAAGACAATTTCTAATGTTCTAATGTTAATTCTAAAAGTCGCTTACATACAATGGCACTAAACTTGACAAAATGCCAGTGGTTGCACCTGCAGGTGCATCAATTTGTGCCTGAGGTAAGAAAACTATATTATACTTTTGAAAATTAATAATAATTTATAATTTTGCAGGGGTATATTTTATTGTGTCCGTGTGCTCACAATCTGCACTATAATGAGCACGGAGATATACTCCTATACATGGAGCCATTCTTCGGGGATTATTTTATATGGGTGTTTACGAACAGTTTGCCCGAAGGAAGTGGTGTTGCCTACTGCAGAGTAGGACCGTAAGTTGTTGTTTTGTGCTTGTTGTTGTTGTTGTTGAAAATTATTTACAATTGTAATTCTCTTTAGCATGTCTTAGTTGTAAATGTAATATAATTCTTTTCCAGACGAATCTGCATCTACAATGTGCAAAATTGTATATAGGAGAAGCAACAACGACGACGACGACGGCAACGACGATGACGATTCTGCAATATATATATAGATATAGGAATGTTATAACAATTTATTAAATAAAAATTGTGTATAAGTATTCGTACACATTTATTAATTACAATACATAAAACATTAAGCGTCTTAAACAAATGTTAGAGAATGATGCAAGGGTCTTAAACAAAATATAAAAAATGTTAGAGAATGATGCTGAAGTATTTACAGTATTAGACATAAAACATTAAGCCTAGTATAGTCCACTGCAAAGTAGATAGTTATCAAATTCTAACAGATCGATTTTGAGTGGATCTTTATTAATATGACAATAAGAGCTATAATGAGGTAAATCACTTAGTTCCAACTCAGGTTGTAGAATGATATTAAGTTTATCATATTCAATGTTCATAATAAATTCTTGAACTCTGCGAATATAGTCAATTTCACGTTCTTTATCGTACTTTTTACAGCCCGCAGCAGCAGAAGCAGCTTCATTGCCTTCTTCTTCTTCTTCTTCTTCTTCTTCTTCTTCAGTGTCACTATTACATTGTTAAACAGCGATGATGATGATGCGGCCGTCAGGGATGACAACGAGTACCATGATGCTGTAGGCTTGAGTTTTGTTGACTGTGGTGGTGGTGGTGGCATTATCCATGGATGGTTACATATTGATGTGGGACGAATTATTTCAAAATATTCGTGAGGCTTTATGTGTCTAGACCTAACAAAATCGCAAACTTCAACTAGAAGCGATGAATTATTGAACACAGGCGCCAGTTTAACATAACTTTTTTCAAAAATGTTAATGTTAGTGTTTCACGCACAGTTGTTTTATACATAATTTTTACTACCCGTTCTAACCACAATCTTTGTAAATATTCTAATAAAATGTTCGGCGTGATAATATGACCGTATATGTTTGATGTTTCAAAAGATTGTAATTTAAACTTGTTTAAAAGTGTAATTCCACAAATTTGTTTTAAGCTCCTAGGTTGATTTAAAAAAATGAATTTCGTATAACCCGCACGTTCTTTTACAAATTCAAAATCTGTAGTATATGGCAGTAGCACAATTTCCTCTTCTTGATTTATTTCGATTGTTTGTCTATGACCATCAATTGCAGATAGAGTTAATAATACTTCAGCATCATTCTCTGACATTTTTTATAAACACTTCAACACACCCCACACACACGCAAATATAGAAGTCGTTAGAAGAGTTAATTATATACTCTAACGCTTATCAATTATATGTCGCCGCGGTTTTCTGTTGACGCAAACGGATGTCGCGGTTTCATGTTATCGCAAACGGATGTCGCCGCGGTTCGGATATCTCGGTTTTCTGTTGACGTCAGCGCGCGGTTTCATGTTGACGTGCGAGGATATTGTGGCTTCCTGTTTACATGAGAAATTCGACATTCATCAAGGAGGGGTGCTGAGTATATAAAATGTGAAAATATGGTCAGGTTATTAGTTTGAAGATCTACTTTGATTGTAATCAGTCGTGTAAATTATAAAAAATAAATAATATGGATTTCAACAAAATTTTGAAGAACATTAATTCTGCCGGCATGCTCCAAGAAAGGAAAGTTTTGAAAATTGAGGAAATGGAAATTGGGAAACTATATAAAATTAAAAAACTCAAATCAATAATGAACCATTTTGGACGAGGAATTGTCTGCGAGCTTGAGGAGGAGGATGGTAATGTTTCCATATTTCTACCTCAACGAATGGTGAGGGAAATCGACGATGATGCCCTTACAATTTTAAATGGTAAAGATAAAAGGATTGGGATTGTTGTGCATGGTTTGCATAACGATCTTCCAAAAATTCAACTAGTACCAGTCGACTAGGAACGAGGAAGAGGTGGGGGAGGTCAAGTTTACATTAATTATGCTTGCATCGTAATAATATATGGCATTTCAATCGTTTGTGTGAAATTGATAGCATCTAAGTATTATTGTAGAATGTCTGATAATAAAACTATTATTATTGACGTGCAAGGTTTTAATACCAAATCAGGATTTATTCCAAAAGAATTAGCAACATATAATGGAAAACAGTTTGCGCAATACTACAACTTTTTTTTAGCTTTCGATAAACTATTTCTCCGGTTAAATTATTAACTTGCCGTAACAACATGTGGCCCTTCTCTTTATCCTACAGTAAGTTTCCATTGAAGATAGATACGTGCAATGCAACCACAATGCTTGATTGATACGTATTCTTTCGATATTTACAAGCGTCAACGTGAAAAATTACGTAAATTTAGAGCAAGGGAGTGAAATAAAGCCTCCTGCTTGAAAAGGATTGCTCCCTAAGATGAAATCTCCCCGAAAAAGATTTAGTTCCATACCGCTAGGAATTATTATAGTGCTATGTTGAAATCTACGTATCCGTTTCTGACTGAACGTTGACCTTTTCCTTATGGCCAGAACAGCGAACTAATGGAGAACATAGCAACCCTAGGAAAATTGACATTCTTATTGTAAAGCACAAATGGTTCCGTAAAGAACTTCATTTTTAATTATTGTAAATAGCTTTATATTTTGCTCAAGTATCGCGTATGATTCTTCATTTTGATTATTGTCTCACGTTGACAATAATCTCTGGATGGATGTGACCAACTCCGTGTCTCATGAGCAGTTAGCCAGAAATCTACTCAGTTCGATCTCTGCCCTGAACACAAGCTGACAGGGCCGGTTGTCGTTATAGTCACTTGAGAAACTGTTAGATGGAGCAGACAAACTAATGGAGCACAAAACAACCCTCAGAAAATAGTGATCTTTTTTGTAAAACACACGATTCCTTAAAAAATCATTAATCCTGTGGTATGGAATAATCATTCCTGTATATTTGGATGATTGGAATATCATTTCGATTAAGCATCGCGTTCATTTGATTCAGATCTGACGTTAATCATCTCTGGATGGATGTGACCAACTCTGTGTCTCATGAGCAGTTAGCCAGAAATCTACTCAGTTCGATCTCTGTCCTGAACACAAGCTGACAGAGCCGGTTGTCGTTATAGTCACTTGAGAAACTGTTAGATGGAGCAGACAAACTAATGGAGCAGAAAACAACCCTCAGAAAATAGTGATCTTTTTTTGTAAAACACACAAGATTCCTTAAAAAATCATTAATCCTGTGATATGGAATAATCACTCCTGTTTATATGGATGATTGGAAATATCATTTCGAGTAAGCATCGCGTATGATTCTTCATTTGATTCTGGCTGACGTTAATCATCTCTGGATGGATGTAACCAACTCTGTGTCTCATGAGCAGTTAGCCAGAAATCTACTCAGTTCGATCTCTGTCCTGAACACAAGCTGACAGAGCCGGTTGTCGTTATAGTCACTTGAGAAACTGTTAGATGGAGCAGACAAACTAATGGAGCACAAAACAACCCTCAGAAAATAGTGATCTTTTTTGTAAAACACACACGATTCCTTAAAAAATCATTAATCCTGTGGTATGGAATAATCATTCCTGTTTATTTTGATTGATTGGAAATAGCATTTCGATTAAGCATCGCGTATGATTCTTCATTTGATTCTGGTCTGACGTTAATCATCTCTGGATGGATATAACCAACTCTGTGTCTCATGAGCAGTTAGCCAGAAATCTACTCAGTTCGATCTCTGTCCTGAACACAAGCTGACAGAGCCGGTTGTCGTTATAGTCACTTGAGAATCTGTTAGATGGAGCACAAAACAACCCTCAGAAAATAGTAATCTTTTATGTAAAACACACACGATTCCTTAAAAAATCATTAATCCTGTAGTATGGAATAATCATTCCTGTTTATTTTTATTGATTGGGAATAGCATTTCGATTAAGCATCGCGTATGATTCATCATTTGATTCAGATCTGACGTTAATCATCTCTGGATGGATGTAACCAACTCTGTGTCTCATGAGCAGTTAGCCAGAAATCTACTCAGTTCGACCTCTGTCCTGAACACAAGCTGACAGAGTCGGTTGTCCTCATCGCGCACGTGAGAATCTCGTATGAAGAGCAAAGCAACGCTAATAAAGTCTTATTGCGAAACACATACGGTTCCATAATCAACATCTCTGTATGGAATAACCATTCCTCTTCATTTTTATTGATTTTGAATATGCTGTGCTGTCGTTAATCTCTGGATGCGCCAAACTATTTCGGCGAATAGTCGAAACGGTGACAGTGGATTCATTTATTTTGTGTAGATTTCCAATTTTCACAGCAGATGCTGTGAGATTTTGTTGTGAAGAGTTTTCACTTTTTTTTTTACCAACAGTAAAATTGGGCGGCAACTCTTGAACCGGTGAATTATTATAAATCAATCACTCCATTATATATTTTTACATTTTTATAACAGATTAACATTTTCAAATGTAAATTGGCATGCAATCGCAACATATTCAATACAATTTACGTAGCTTGGTGGAGGTAACACAATGTTACTGTGCACAACTAAATTATTGCTTGTGATGGTTATCAAGAGAATCTTGTTTCATGAGGTATTCTTGACTACTTGTTGATCTTGTAACGCGTTGATGATGCCCGAATCTGCAAATAAACAAGTTACATTAATGTGAATCTATGTAAAGCTATACACTTGTTTAAAAAATATTTGAGTAAAAACAAAAACTTTGTTTCGTATGGAAATCGTCGTTTTCATGTCATTACCTACTGTAAAAGTATGGCATACAAAGAAATATCGGTATAAATTTCCGATTTGTAAGATGCAACTCCTGCTAAAATGGTAAAAATCCGGCCACAAATATGAAAGATAGCGTTGCAAATGTGCAATCCATTTTTGACGTGCTACTTCAATTTCAGTTTATAAGAAGAATTTCATTTCAATGTTTTTCTAAATAAGAAAGTTGGAACTGCGCATGCGCAAACCTAAATTTGGAAACTGGCGTTTGATTTTTCTTTATTCCAAGCGCCTATGTATCAAATTTCATTTAAATTCTTCCATAAATAAAAAAAAGTTGGCACTGCGCATGCGAAAAACCAAATTTTGAAATTGGCGTTCGATTTTCATTTATTCCAAGTGCCTATGTATCAAATTTCATTCAAATACTTTTATAAATAAGAGATTCGAAAAGGGCCTGTGAATTTTGAATCGATTCGACTCAACTTTTGGCATTGCGTATTATACGGCTAAAGCTATGCCCATATTGAATTTCATGCAATTCAGTTAATAACTAACGGAGATGTAAAAGCGATCGGACATTTCTAATCAAAGATATCGTTCACACGGACAGATAGAGGGACAGACAGACAAAGGAACAGACGGACAGACCAACAGACAGACAGCAATAAGATAAGATAAGATATATATTCGAGGAGTAGAAATAAATACATGCAATACATTACAATCGTATGTAAATATGACTATTGCTCACGTCTAAAGAAACAAACACAAAGAAAAAAGTAAGGACAAAAACCGTAACAATTTATTATAGACTTACTGTGAATATGAGCGACAGTATTGATAGTACTCCTTTACGTTGTAGGGGGTTATATCTATTAGTAAGTTTTTAACTCTTTGTTCAAAAACTGGGAAGCTAAGATTTTTTATTTGGGAAGGCAAAGAATTAAATAATTTGCTACCCGAGTAGAACACGCCTCGTTCATAAAGAGTTAAATTGTAGTGTGTTAGCAGCAGTAAGTTTTTATGACGAGTGTTATGTTCGTGGTCACGGACACCACCACGACTCATGTAAAAATTTGAATTTTGGAAGACAAAACATAGCAACGTATATATGTATACTGCATACAGAGTTAGTAATTTGTTTTCTTTAAAAATATCTTTACAACTCAGTTTCGTTTTTAAATTACATTTAAATATGATGCGTATTGCTCTTTTTTGGATGACAAAAATCCTAAGAAGCATGTTGGCTGAAGCAGCCCCCCAGAACATGATACCGTATTTCATTACGGAGTAAAAATTACCGTAATACATGCTTAGGAGAATATCCTTACTACAGTGCATTGACGTGATACGCAATGCGTAGCATAATTTTGATAAGCGTGTACAGAGTTGGTCGCAATGACAAAATTATAAACGATCTCTAGGATCGTTAATAAACGGCAAAAGTGTAAAATTATGGAACATGTAAAAAACGGTTTGTTGGTTTTATTACAATAACTTTTTTTGTAAGCGGTACAGAAAAAATTCCTTCCTTGGTGCAAGACTCGACACCATAACGAACCAAATAGCGAACAAAAAGTAGAACAATAGCTCCTGAGATAAAAAAAGTAGTAGCGTCTCAAAACGAGTGGACGGACGGACAAAGTGGCCACAAGAGCGCATTTTTATTTTTGAAATGCGCTAAAAATTCAAAAATTTTAATGTCGAGGGCTAACTTCACGCCTAAAACTTCACTAATTCAATAACGATCAACCAACAAACGTGAAAACGTAACTAACAAACGATTGTAATAAAAATATTCTGAAAATTTCAAAAGTGGATGGCTAACTTGACACCGGTATACTAAGCATTGGAAAAATCACCTTATACCGTGATTGCCAAAAGTAATGATCGCATAATACGTAAACTGCAGTATAAACAACCAACATGCCTGCCACATCAGGCTCCGTCGGTTTCTTCCAGGAGGAGATACTCTAATTTGTTGGGTCGCATTTCCAAGTTGCACAATATATTTAAATGTTGCTTGCGTATGCTGCAGATTTACCTATTCGGCGATCATTACTTTTTTCAATGACTGTACATGTTTTAACCTAAATAAAGCAAACCGTTCTCAAAGCTGACTAATGCCTAATAATCTCCGAGGGGAATTGATGGTGGAAATTAAAAGTTCTCATCATTAAAATAGGTATATTCACTAATTTCATTAAATCGTGAGTAATGATTGTGCATTTCCTGCAAGAATAAAGGAAAAACATTGATAACATGAACAATTAAGATTTAATTTGACAGAGTCCAAATGCGGTTTGTTGAATGGTCAAAAGTCTTTTCAATACTCCAAATAACTATAGTAAATTCGCTGTAGCTTTGCCGGTATGTCGTTAGCGCATAATTTTTGAAGACACATCCTCACATTGTCCTGTATATCATTCTCTTAAATTTTGGGCATATCTGAACGTCCGGAGCAATTCTCAGGAAAACAAGGATATTAAACATTGAGATGAGATTTGAACCATACAGTTTACAAGGGGAAGCAAAGCTACAGCGAATATACTATAACGTAACTGTTGATCTTATGGGAAGAGATTCCAACATATTTGTACAATGGAATGTTTTGCTATTGATTTATAATTATTTACCTTTTTCTTAACACCTCCCGAGACTGGTTCTGAGAAGATGAAAACGGCCCTTCAAATCACATGAGAAAGTTCGGACAGTAAGGGCTGTGTTTTCGAATCGTCATAGCGTTCAGGGTGTTTTGCCTTTGGTACAAATTATAATAATCCTTAAACCTGCCGCCACTTCCAAATTCTTATCCATGCAATATTCGCATTGCCACATTGTCCAGATTACGATACCTCCTCCCTTATATTGTTCCCTGCAATAAAAGGATAACATTAAAATTAGGAAACATAAGTATAGGGTGTTCAATAATTGTTCTAGATATATCGCCTGTGTTTTGCAGCATAAAACGTCTTGTCTAACATTGTAATAGTATATTGGAAATAAATACAATGCGATCAAAAAACAGTGATCGATTCGCTCTTATGAAATAAGACTTTTAGTAACAAATCGCCGCAATATATACATGCTGCACCAATACTAAACATAACCGAAAAATCAAACAAACTTGAATCATTTCAATAGTTTCTGAATTGTAGAGAAGAAGAAATTTAATAAAATGAGAGTTTACATGCCCAATAAACACGATTTATTTTGTATTACATTGTTACAGCAAGGTGTCGAGAGCTTCCCAATAGAGGAGGATTTTCTGCACTCAAAGTTTTCTGAATGAACGCAGCCACTTAAATGAAACTATCGGAGAATTAACTTTTGGTAAAAAAAAACCTTATCTCGTAGATTAAGATTAAGAATTAGATCAAATGAAAACCACTTTTAAATCGAAGAGAAAGGCTGAATTCAATATAGGTATGTGTGTTCCTGATCAGATAGATCAAGTTGGAGCAATTGAAGTCTCCCATGATAGATGGAAGTACACTGAAAAAGCTAGTACAATGAGCCCGCGAGAAATTGTGGGCTCCGTTAACTTAGCACCACCATTTCAAATTTTTGACTAAAGACAGATTGCGCTAGAATCTCTATGGCTAGCGCCAGCTAGCGCCACTTTGAGTTCAGCTAGCGCCATTATAGATTTTGCAGAAAAGCCCTTGACTTTCGGGGGGTGCTATGTTAACGCTAGCACCACCATTGCGTCCGATCATTTCCAAAAGCAAGCGCTGTGTTCGTCAGACCTAGCGCCACAAATTTTAGAGCTAGCGCCACCCCCCAATAGTGAGGGGAGCAATTTTTCCTAGCACCACCATTTTGTCTTTTCATGTAAAATTTTGACGTTTTGTGTTCTGCTGACCTAGCGCCACTATGAGTTCAGCTAGCGCCATTATAGATTTTTCAAAAAAGCGCTTGACTTTCGGGGGGTGCTATGTTAACGCTAGCACCACCATTGCATCCGATCACTTCCAAAAGCAAGCGCTATGTTCGTCAGACCTAGCGCCACAAATTTTAGAGCTAGCGCCACTCCCCAATAGTGCAGGGGGCAATTTTTCCTAGCACCACCATTTTGTTTTTTCGGGTAAAATTTTGACGTTTTGTGTTTTGCTGACCTAGCGCCAGCTAGCGCCACAAATTTTAGAGCTGTCATCACCCTCCAATAGTGTGGAGGGAGGGGGCACCACCATTTTGTCTTTTCGGGTAAAAATTTGATGTTTTCTGTTCTGTAGACCTAGCGCTCAAGTTAACCTAGCGCAATTATAAATTTTGCAAAAAGCCTTTAACTTTTGGGGGTGGTTTATTAGCCTCTAACACCACCATTGTGTTCGATGACTACCAAAAGCAAGCGCTGCGCTGTGTTCTTTAAACGTAGCGCAGAGCTGGCGCCCAATCCCCAACATTGTGGGGGTCCTTTTTTTTATAATACCACCGGTTTGTTTTTTCGTGTACAATTTTGCTATTTTGTGTTTTGCTGACATCTCCCAGATAGAGTGAAAATCTTAAGAGTAGGCGCCACACCCAAGTAATCTGGGACAGTTTTCCCTAGCTTTATGATCTGGCACCACTGAAATATTTTGGATTAATTTTCTAGTAAAACGGTGGTGTGGTAACTGAATCTGAGGCAAGTATTAAAATAAGGAAATACAGTTCAATTATTATAGAACAGAACCATATTTTTATACCTTTCGCAGTAGAGACATTGGGACCTTGGTGTAGAGAAGCTCGAAAATTTTGTGGAATACCTGGGAAAACGCATTACCAATATTACTGGGGAACTCCGAGCTACCACTTACTTACGACAAATTTAAGTATTGCCATACAACGTGCAGGTAACGCGGCCAGTCAGTGTAATGGGGACCACGATCCCCATGGAATAAAATTATCATTTATTAACGAGCTCCTAGCGAGTTTATAATTTTGCGGTGTCTGTCCGTCTGTCCATCCGTTAGCACGATATCTCGATAACGAATGGAGCGATTACGATAAAATTTTGTAGGTGGATTCTTTACGAGATTCTTTATCAAATTTGTAGATCGGAGTTCGTGAACTGGCAATGTAACCCAAAAAATAAGGAAGGCCCTTTTGACATCTCCGTGAGTTATAAACCGAATTGCATGAAATTCAATATGCGTATAGCTTTAGCCATATAAAACGCAATTCCAAAAATTGAGCCTAATCGATCAACATTCACAATGCTCTTTTCGCATTTCGACCATTTATAAACCGAATTGCAAACTTTTTTATTTATGAAGGATTTAAATGAAATTTGATACATAACCACTTGGAATAAAAGTAAATGTTGGAAAATTAGTAGTTGTGATAAGTTTTTCTTAAATATTTAAAAAAAACTATACTATTTAGCGCGAAATAAAATAAATAATCTACAGTAAATTGCGAACAAAAATGGCCTCATCTTGCTAAATTGAACCATTCCAGAGTTACGGAGGGTGTAACAGTAGAAATTTTTCATCTTTTTTTTTAGATTCTTTTGGAAAAAATATGAGATTATCACTAAGGAAACTATTTTTTTTTTTGTTAAATCCGGTTAAAACAAATTGCGCTTTAGTGACCGGTGGTATGTTACTGATAAGTCCTTGAAGGAACAATAACCTTATCACCTTCTCAAGGGGAGCCATTTTTTCAAGAGACTTCCACTATGAGGGACAGTAATTCCTGGGGAGTTGCAGGATGTGTTGTTATTGCTCTCAGGTGTTCGACAATCTTGCATTCCCACTTCATCGGGTTCTTCTTCTCATGCAGCCACTGCTGCACCTGATGGTAAGTTCTAAATGAATGTTCTACCTGGTAGCAGCTGAAATGGAGAGAAGCGCAGCCAACTTGAACAATGAATGTATAGGATGCTTTGAAATAGCTTGCAAGTAACACTAGTAACGAAAACAAGTCAGATCTTCAGTGTTCTTTACTTCAAACATGATTTCATTTTTCCAGAAAATCGAAAAAATACGAAAAATGCCTACTTTTACACCCTCCGCAACTCTGGAATCGTTGACTTGAGCAAGATTACACACAAGACCATTTTTATTCACAATTTAATGTAGATTATTTGGGATATGGTACTTTTCTCGCCAAACCCCATAGTTTTCTAAATATTTAAGAAAAACACCAAAAACTACTAATTTACCAACTGGTGTAAGTTTTTACCAAACAATATGTGGACTGTATAGAACAATTTGCCGTTAATGGGAAACTTTTACTTTTGATGTTTAGGTTAAGCCGTTTTGTCGACTAATTGCACCGTACTATATTATGAATTTTTAATTTTAAAATTTCTATAATAGGTACTGTTTCTTGTGAAATTTTTCTGTTTTGTGCTCTACTCACTAAACAATTCTTTTTGTAAGTCACAGTATTAATTTCACTACCACAGTATTGCGAACTAAATCGTTTAGAACACAGCGCAGTGCAAAATTTTAAAATTTCAACGAACGTACCTACTTATAAACTATATAAAGTCGTTAAATCAATCAGCATATTTGTTAATTCTGCGAAAAAACAAAAAAGCAGTTCTTACTTATGTGTAATTTCCGTAGCTAACTAATTTTTATGGTGCAAATAAGGCATATGTATTTTATATGATTAATACACTCCATTAATATACGACCAATCAGCTAGGTGATTGTTTCCAATTCTAACCAATCAGATGATTTTTTATCTGATTAAATGCTAGGTAGCTTTTTACAGCGATAAAAATGCGTGTAGGAATACGTAAAATATGTAGTGGTTGTGAAATTTACTGTCTTTTATTAATCTCCCTAAAATACACTCGACCTTGGTCAGGATAATTTTATTTTTAATTCACTCAAATTTTGTTGCCTCCTGGAAAAACTCTCGATCAAAAGCATAATATTAATAAAATCGCTCCAGCTAAAACTGTCGCGATTTTATCACACTTTTGGTTTCGAGTTTTTTCCGTTGCAACAAAACTTTCGTGTAAAAATAAAATTATGCGATTAAAAATCAAGCTCTTGTGTAATTTACTCTCGATAAATTATATACCTATGTACGTCACGTCGACTACTATCTAAAGGTGTTTTTTTAACAATGCAGATTTACCAACATTTACACAATTGACGCGCCTGTAAACCCTTGATGTGACAAATAATTTACAACTTTTGCGCATTCATAAAGGATTTAAGTAAGTTTGTACCTGCATACCTCACCGTCAGTTTACTTCGAAATGAAGGGTTACAATCTTGCTACTTTATATACAAATTTTAGTATTTTTATTGGAACTTTTTACTTTAAACAGAACGATCAATCCAAAAAGTAAAGGATTTCAAATTGAAATAATTTGATTATTATTTCCGACCCTAAGAGGGACAGATTTGCACATTCGGGTTTAAAAAAGGTAAAGAGTTTGACCATTCCAGATGCGGTGTCTGACCGTTAGCACAATAGTTCGATAACGAATGGACCGATTACGATGAAATGTTGTAGTTGGATTCTTTATCAAATTTGTAGATCGAAGTTCGTGAATTGGTAATGTATCCCAAAAAATAAGTAAAGGCCCTTTTGACATCTGCGTGATTTTGAACCGAATTGCATAAAATTCAATATTCGTATAGCTTAACCTATATAACACGTAATTCCAAAAATTGAGCCTAATCTATCAACACTCACAGTGCCCTTTTCGCATCGACGCGACGTGTAAATAAATATAGAAAACGAGCTCCTGGGTATGGCTACAGCATGTGCAAAACCAAATTTAGAACTTGGTGTTAGTTTTGCTTTTATTTAAAGTGTATATGTATGAAATTTCATTTAATTGCTTCCATAAATAAGAATATTGGCACCACACATCATGCACAAAACCAAATTTTGAAAGTGGCGTTAAATTTGCTTTTATTC